TCTCCGACTCAGACCTACACATGTGCATATAGCAAGGCTATAAGCACACGCTGATAGAATGTTGTATTAATATACAGCTGCACAAAGCAGTACACACCTGGCGTGGCTTCGGTTTCTATCCTAAACGGTGTGTCTTCAATGGAGCCCCATGTCATCATAGGCGACTCGTCCCCCGCCAAACCCACACCCCCCAAGCCGTCCCCTTCTCCGGGCCTAGGCACCGGGGTACCAATGAAACCATAGCCCCGAACTTCGGGAGAGGGTGCTACCTTCTCATGACCAGCGATACTGATTGAGCCCAGAACAGTGCCCACGCCAAATAGGGACGTGCTGGGTTTCTTCTTCACATCAGCCGGTTTTTTGAAGGGGTTTTCCCTTAGGCGTGTGTTAGCGACAACCACCTGCTTACTGGCTGCCTGTGATGAGAACAAGAACAATGGGGCGTGAGAGTTTTACATGATGCACCAAAGAACAGGAGCCTTTCTACAGGTGGCCTTCAGGACATGGTTGAAACTCGCAAAACGTACCCTCTGCACTATCGCACAAGGTTGGTCGCCTGTAACACTGAGTAGACACAAAGCCACAGTGGAGCCGTAGTAATGAATACCTTGACTGAATCCAGCGTGGATACGGACTGGTTCGTGCCGTCGGGAAAATACATCAGCGAGTTTTTATTCTTGTAATCCCAGCCAATTAGCGCTCCATTTGTACTGTTATCCCGTGCCGCTTCGATAGTCTTGACCACTCCGAGATTTTCATCCTAGAAAGGTTTGGGACAGTCAGATACTTTATGAATCATAGGACGGGGCGCCCGAGTGCGAACTTCAGGGTTTTCCTAGCATTGCCACATGTACGGCAATCAGTCCGTCACAGACAACAAACATTCAGGGAACAACGAGAGTAGTGGTCCAATCTCATCCATCGCGAAAAGGGGGATGACACCCAGTGAATATCCAAAACAACAAACAATCTACACATAGCAACGTCTCAATCACTTGGTTTACAACCATCTCAATAACAGCAAATAACAGACCAACCTGAGCCGCTGTAATGGCCAGCCTCTTCTCTTCGCTTTTAGCCTCGACGGCGTGTAGCCATGCGTACTTCTGCTTGTTGGCTTCTCGTTGCTTCGCCATTAACACTTCAAACTCTGCGTTATCTTCACTAGCGTGAGTGCGTAAGAACTCATTCAGACCGGTAGAGGCCTTAACTCTGGGTCCCTCCGATTGACTTGCCTCCTGCAGAGGAGCGGCAATATACAACACCCAAATGAAATGTCGTTAATTTTCTGTCCGACACTATACAACAAACTCGCAAAAGCGTTTGTGCTCGTGTTGTGAATTAAAGATTAACATATGAAAAACACCCCAAGCTATATGACAACATTGAGAAGCAGAATCCATTCAATACCTGTCCTGAAAAATACTGTGTTCCGCTGACACCGGGAGTTTCATTCCCGCGACCTCCAAGTAACGAAGGAGTGACAGAGGGAAGAGCGCCTGCAGGACGTTGCAATTGGTCAGACGATTGTTAACATCAGTACTAGCATATGTCAAATAAAGAAGAGGATAAGCATTTTCCTTCCATTCACATCCAAACATTGACACACTGATAATTCAACCGTTTCTTAAAATAAAATAAAGCTAATGATGTTGGAGGTTTCTTACCTGGCGTCCGGATATGGGGCGAGGCGGCCGGGGTACCCTCAAGCGTACGCGCCATCGCAGCTTTTCTTGCGATGGTGCGCATCCCAATCACATCATTCTCGGCTTTGGCATCCAGATACTCATTTTCAGCACGCAAACGACCCACTTGCGGGAAGAACTCTCTCTCGATGATAGCATCGATGCCTTCATTATACTCCTCCTCGTCAAGAATCTTGTTCAGGATATATGCAGGAGTGAGGTTAATGCTATACTATCACCCACAGTCGCACAGGTGATTTTTATTCAGATCTCTGGATACGGCATAATGACGTATGCAAGATTACATTCAACCACGTGCAAAATACGCAGTAACATATAACGAAGACAAAGAGAATCCAATTATAGTCTCAATATAATAGTAATAAAGATTGACCAAACGCATGTTAACAATCATGTGCTGAATATATA